GAGATAGAAGGGGGAGAGAACGACGGGAAGGCGGGGGTGTAGGAGGAGAAGGAGGAGAAGACTTTGAGAAGAGTGCTCCGAGAACGCCATGTTGATCCCTTGGATCTCAAGGTTCAACCAATCAGATCCGTCGCTCGATAGGTAGGTCCTATCGATCCACGCACCTGATTGGCGAGCGGAAGTTATCGGGGGATCGATTGGGCGTCGTACGCCAGGCTCAGAGGGTGAGAAGAGAAAAGGCGCGAGAGGTGGCGCAAGACGGGTCCAAGATTTAGATGATCGAGAAAGGGAAATGGGCGCGTGAAAGCAAGGCGGGAGAGAGAGAGGGAGAAGGAAAAACAGTTACGGGGAGAGAAAAAAAGGAGGGAGAAGGGAAGGGAGGCGAGGGAGGGAGCGATGCGGGGGACAAAGAGGAAGAAGCTTTTGCATGCACGGCGCCGTCAACAAAAGAAAGAAAAAGGCACCGAAACAGTTACAGCTTGCTTCTATTCCAATTCAAAAATTGAAATCACCATATCCGCGCGCGAAAAAAAACGACGCGGGAAAAAAAAACATCCTGCGCCTATTCGTATTTACGCAAAATTCCGAGAGTTTTCCCCGACGCGCCCAAGTACACACCCAAAAAGGACACGTCGAAGTTCCGCTTATCCTGGAGTTCCCAACTACCGAGCCCAATTCCCAGCGCGCTTGCTAAGGCACGCGCAATTTCCCATGTATTTCCCGACTTTGCAAAAGGAAAAACAGAACTCAGCAGTCGAAAAAGCTCTCAAAAAAAAGGAAAATGCAGCACCCGAAAGCAAGAAATCAGAACGGGTTTTTCCTGGGGTTGGTAGGATACAAGCAAAAGAAAGGGTATGAAAGATAGCACGGGGTCGTAAAGTGGTTCGTCACATGGTCCCACTAGCAACAGGGATTGGATTAAGATCCTGAATCTGGGCATATTTTAGGCACAGATGCAGAAAGCAACGGGGATTGGATTAAGATCCTGAATCTGGGCATATTTTAGGCACAGATGCAGAAAAGCAGTTCAATCTCCATTTCCTGCATCTCTCCACAAACATGTCCAGATTCAGGCCTTAGATCCTATCCTCTTTGCTTGTGGGACCCCGCCCCCCGCGCTAGGTCCCACTTCCGCGAATTAAGGAATAGAGACCGTAGATAACCGAGATCAACCGCCAGCATCTCCTAATCTGTGCAAGTGGGACCTTGCCCCCGGATAGAACTGGGGTCGTTACCCAGCTTCTGCTTGTGCTTGCTTTACACCGGGTCTAGCGCCTCATTATCCTTCAGAAAAATCGACAATCCTCCCATCAGTTTCACTTGACCCCAACATTGACAATGGGCCCTCGTTGCACTACTCTCCAAATGCACATGGGTCAGATCCCACTACCCTGGATTATTCATTTTTCACCCTCGATTACGAAAATGAACGGTCAGAAATGAACAGTAGGGGCTACCGGTAGTGGGATCTGGCCCTAAATCAGTATCCATCCACCGATAGAACATCCCAAGATACATTACCATCTTTTTTTTCGTTTGTGCATCTGGAGACTACCGGTAGTGCAGTGAGGCCCACTATCTCCAATTTCCTTTTTTTCTCTAAGGGCAGGCTCACACTGGGTACCAAAACCGTAAAACTCCCAACACCGCTGGTTACACACAATGGTTCCGACCCCAAACACCCCATTCGCAAACCCATTTGTCAGCGGCCTGCCTGCCTGGCCGCGGTTTTGAGGAATTTGCGGTAACGTCCAGAGGTTACTGCAAAATCCTTATTCTTTTTTTCTTTTTTTTTTCGTAAATGAATGCAAAGTTGAAAAGGGAACATGTACGTTCTATATTTGGGGTTACTTCTGTGTGACTGGTAACCCCAAACAGCAGCACCCTGATGGCAAGGTAGCGACCCTGTCTTTAGCGAAATGGGAACGCGGTGTGAACGCAGTGTGACCTGAAACGTCCCAAATTATACCCCAATTCGGCCGGACCCATTTTCGCAATTTATACGGATTTGCTACCGCAGTGTGAGCGTGCCCTAAGTTGCGCCAAAGCGAGCCGCCCACACCTACACGCGCGCGGACTCACTCCACTCTCCACACACGAGACACTGCATTGCGAAAATAGAAAGGGCATGAACGTCAGAGGTGGGCGAGACGAGCTCGGTATGGTGGCCGAAGCTGGTATGGCGGGCCTAACCGCCATGCCTCACCCAGGCAGCTTGGGTCGCCAGCGCTCCGTTGCCTCGTAACGCTCAACCCTCCCTACCCTTATACTCGCGAAACTCAAATGCACGTCCGCACAGAATAAACGATATTGGACCATTTCTCGATTTATGCGTGTCATCCTTGCGCAGGGGCCATGCTAATCTTCTCTGTATCATTCCAATTTTAACGGATGTCCCGAAGAACTCAAAACGATATTAAAAAACAGTGCCGGAGAAGAAAAAAAAAAAAAAGAGTAAGAACCTAAGAAACAGAAAAAATTACTCGACTCTTTTTTTTCCTTCTCTTCACTCCTCGAAGCCTACCCCATTTTAGCAAGTGAAAAGAACAACATTCCTCTTTTCCTCTCTCTCTCTCTCTCTCTCTCTCTCTCTCTCTCTCTGTGTGMGCACTCTCTCTGAAACTGCTCTCTCTCTCTCTCTCTCTCTCTCTCTCTCTCTCTCTCTCACACACACACACACACACACACAAAAAAAAAAAAAAAAAAAAAAAAAAAAAAGAAGAAGAAAGAAAACACGCTCTGCTATCCTATTTCCGAACTTGGCAAGAAGGATGATCAGCATGGCCGCTTTACAAGCATGGCACGCATGAGGCAAGCGATACTAGGACAGCGGGAGAACCGAGTCAAAAATGAGATTAACAAAAAAAACAAAAGGACAAAAACACTAGGACGCCGGGGGAATGACGTAGGAGGCCCAGCGAATCCTTTGGTACTTCCCATTTGCCCCGATATTCAGCAGGACAGTGTCCACCTCAGCGCCATGGCCAGCGATGGCTGTAGAGGGGGAGGGGGAGGGAGAGGAAGAGGGAGATTGGGGGGCGGAGGAAGACGATGGCGATGGCACATTGGGGAACATCCACTCAACGAGGATGTCTAAAGGTTTCCCGCCATTCATGCAATACGTGGCAGGAGCATATACGGCCACGTTATCCGGCAGCTGAACGACCTTCCACGTGGTGTCTCCCCCTCCCCCTCCTCCTCCTGTTTCTCCTCCTTGTTCATCCACGTCGAATCTATCCTTACCGCCCGTGATTGCCCCGCCATGGCCCTTCTCTGCACAGGCATGCTCAGGGTAGTCCCTCTCCTCGCCACGTGGCTCGTCTGCTGACGATGCTGATATGGCTTCACGTCGGGATCCCGACGTTCTATGAGTCAAGACGAACCCCGGCTCCAAGCAGACCTCCTCCTTCGCTTTCCCCCTCCGGTTGATAGGCAGTTCATGGACCTCAGCTATGGAAACGGACTCATTGTCGAGGCATGTCCATGGGCCGTGTTCTCCATTCTCCTCCTCCTCTACTGTGGGCAAGCTGGGCTCCACAAACTCAGCCCTGGTATCCCGATGAGTCTCTCGGGCAAACGATACGCGATTCCAAATGCCATCCACATACACGAAGACAAGACCGAGCCTATGGTCTCCTCGAACAAGGTTGAGCTCTACGGCTATGGGTTCGGCAGCATCATTCACAGCAGCAGCAGCAGCAGGAGGAGGAGGAGGAGGAGTCTGTGGCTGCCTGATTACCGGCACCTACTGCATTCTCGTGCAGCTCTTCCTCCAGGTCCCGACGAGGCCCATCGACATTGCTTGCCCCATCCGATTGGCTGCCACGTGGCTTATCCAATTGAAAAGGACCATGTACCCCAACTATTCTGTTGGGCAGAACGTATAGCTTGGCAGAAGGGAAGACAGGATGCATGAGCGACTCTCCTCCTGGTGCCAATATCACCTCCCATGGGCATTTGAACGGCCGGCGGTATCCCGAGTCGACTCGAACAGTGTGTTCATGTGAATAAGCTTCTATTGCTGTGCCACGTCATCACTCGATGAGGATGAGGATGGCGATGGAGGTGGCAAGGTAAAGAAGCTTCGGATATGGCGAACGTGGTACAATTGCTGGCGTGTCTGCACATCCCAGGCCTTCCACAGGCAGTGCCAGTTTCTTGGTTTCTGCCTCTTCACCATAAGGAGCATTTCCTCAGGCGGGAAGATGCGCTGCTCCATAAGATTGGTCGCAGGTGATTGATTGCCATTCTCCCCCTCCATCGCTTCCCTGTCCAATGTCATTACCCCCTCCTCCCCTCGTCCCGTAGCTGCCGCTAATCGAGTTGATGGTGGTCGTGCTGCTGCTGCCGCTAATCGAGTTGATGCTGGTCGTGCTGCTGCTGCCGCCACTGGAGGAGAGGGAGAACGAAGAGGAGAGGCAGAGTAAAGAGGAGGAGTTTTGTCGTTCGTGAACTGTTGCCACGTGGCAGCTGGCTCTTCAATTCGCTGGGGGGTTGCCGTAGCCGTCGTGAGACGAGAACATACATAGCAGGGGTGGGGGGTCCGCAAGCGACCACTTGCGGCTGCGCGAAGATCTACCAAACCCGTTGGACGGCGGACTGTCTTCCGAGTGAGCGTCCACGTCCGGTCGGCGACCGTTCCGGTCTGCTGCAGAAACATACCGGCGGCCGCAAAGTTACTGCCTCCATCGCTCCTTTGACCCCATACTTCAGCTTATCACTGCTTCGCATGTAGAACCGAGGAAGGGGATTTGCCTTTTCGCAAAGTTCGGCCTAACGATTGCCTTATAGATTGCCTTATAGATGACATACACATTGGGTCTCGCTGCACTTCGGCCTGACGATTCCACCCAAAGATCGGAGAGTTGGCGGAGCCTCTCCGAATTTGTGATTTATTTATTTATTTTAACCAATCAACTTATATTCTCAAAATCCAATCCGAGCCCGGGGACCTCATCCCACCACCAGGGGTTATCCTGGCAGAGCATTCAAGTTAGCCAGTTTCCCTTACGACTTCGTATGCTAACCGTCAGCTGGTCCGTACTACGTCACCATCTCCTATTATCTCCAACCTAGGCTAAGCTTCAACCTTTTTTTTTTTTTTTTTTTTTTTTTTTTTTAACAAAACAACCCAGTAGAATGCTAGGGGTGCTGATAAAAGCAGACACCACTAGCAATCCCCGGGAGGCTCCATCTATTGGTGGGGAGCAACACCTGCTGGAAAGCGGGTCCAGCGTCCCTGAACATTTGAGCTGTTTGATTTGCGAAATGGAWTTGTGATGGAGGCAGTCAGCACTACACAGCACTCTGAGCTGCTTGCCTATCTGACAGCCTACTACTGGCGAACCTTTGACATTCCATACATTACGTCTTAACTTTATGTCACTGTAGTTATTGGCTGCCTACATGGTGGCTCTCTGTGGGAGCTAGTATCCTCTGGACTCTTATCTGTTGTCTGAAATGCTGGAAGCTGATCCCATGAACCCATGGTGTACTGTTTGTTGACACTCATCTAGCATATCGCATGGTGTCTTCCAATATTGATGCTAGCCCCACTACCATGTTTTCTACCAGTGCATGTAGGCAATACAGACCTACCCGTTCCCCAACCCCCACCCTTGGAACTTGATATGTTGAAAGAGTAGTAATGATCTAATAGCAAAAACTGGTTCCCCCCAACCTTGGGGGCTAAGGCAGCGAGAGGCGAGGACACAGGGTCGGGGCGCCTAACGCGCGCAAGAAGGACGGGCACCTTGGGGCTGGACACGTCACGGGCTGACGTGCAGCGAGCTCCTGACACGTGTCACCTACTGTGACACGCGTTCCGACATTCACACTCCGGTGTGGCGGCTCACTCAGTAAAATGAATTGGCCGTCGCTCTCCCTTTCGGCTGGAGTGTAGTGGAGAATAGCCTGCCAGAAAAGTGTGTGTGTTGACAGTCGAAAGTATCATACATCTTCTGCCGTGACAAGGCAATCCTCTTCAACAACGAATTACGGTCCCATACATTACAAATGTAAGGGTTAACCGTGGTGTGTTTCTCATATCTCCAATCATTACAGGTAATCCTCTTCAGAGAGGAACTACAGTTCCATACAGTATAAGGATTCTTTGTTGATAGTAGAGGTATCGGAAGTAAGACTTCAGAATTAGTAGCAAAATTATAAGTGCACAGATCGAAGGGCTCACAGAAGTCGTAAGGAGAACAGGAGGAAGGTCACCACACTCTTGGTAGGATAGTAGCGACACATCATCCAAATTTTACTCCCCCCACGTCTTCTAATCATCTCCTCATCTGGGGTTGACGTCATAAGAGAAGAAGTCAGGAAGGAGGGGAAGCTACGTCCAACTCAACCACAGCACATGAGCTATGCGTTTTGGTAAACAGATGCGGGTTCGGTGGTCCAAACAAGCGCAGCTGTTGGAGTGATGTGGTGAGTGCATCCCTCCCTCCTCACACACTATTCCCCCCCCCCTCCCCCTGTTTTCTTTCTTCTCCCTGTTCCCCCGCCTCTCCCCAAGGTGTATTGACTCCCCAGCCAGGCGCTGCTGAACGGAATCAACAGCCATTACATATTAAACCAAGTAAATCAATCAAATTAATCAATCAACCAACAAACCAACCAAATCAACCAATCAATTAATAGATAAATCAATCAATAAATCAGTCAATCAATCAGCCAACAATCAGCAACCAACTGAATCAACTAAATCAATTCACCATCCCACCACTGAGACACGAGTTTTAAGTTTGAGCGTCGACACTGGAAATGATAGAGTTGGCCAGTATGGTGACTCTGGAAATGATAGAGTAGGTTAACATCCTGTTACCAAACATTTCACCCCGTCCTCTCTCCGTTCCCATCCCTTCCTTTTTCTTTCCCCACGTTTCACCTACCCCCCCTCCCCCTCCTTCCACTCCCACTCAGCTTCATTATCCCTAGTAAGCCCTCTCATACCTCCGCAAGAACATACCTAACCCGCTTCAACCCTACCCTCAACTAATACAGACGATGTCCTGTCATAGCCCTTCCACCCCCCCCACCCAACATAAGACGCTGTTTTGCTCTTCTCAGCGCCCCCCCTCTCCTCTCCTCCAGTATCTAGCTAATCACATTGCCACCTCACGAAAGTCAACCCTGCACACCCAAATCACCAGCAATCGCAGGCGTTGACTTGCCACAACCTTATCATCAGTCCCTCTTTTTTTCACCAATCAAAATGCTCAAAATGACAGCAAAGAGAGTAAAGGGCCAGGACTCTCTTTTGTTCTACCAAGGGGCTATGAGGCACAACTTGTTCACACACCTGGGGTCTGCCCCTTATGCCAGACCCTCTTCGCCCCATCAAATGCAGCAAAAAACAATGACTATTAATAGTCAAAGTGGCAACATCTGGAAATCCAGAAATGCTGCAAAATGGCTGTCTCAGACACCGGCCCCGAACTCGTCACAAGGGTCTCCCCCTCTTCACACCCATCAAACCCAGTTTCCTCCCCTTGGGCACCAAAACCAAATCTCCAGGGGGAGAACAGGGACCCACCCCCTCACTCTCCCCATCCAGATCACAATCAATCACGGTCTCATACTCCGCAGATGACCGCGGAGCAACAGATCGCAAGGAACGTACCAGAGAAGGGATCGGCCAGGGAGGATAGGGTAATGCGTGACGACGACCAAGATGAGATCCTTACTGAAGAAGAGAAATGGCTGGAACAGTTCAGCAAGGAAAAAGGAACTCTACAAGGCAAATCAGGGAACTCTAACGATCAGTCTGGGGGGACATGGCACAGAGGGTCAGGACGACACTTCATGATAATCACTCATCGTTAGCAGGCCAGCTGTAGATCCTCCAGGTGCTCCAGCTGAGGAACTCAAGATTCCCCTCTATAATCTGTCCTCTGCAAGGGCTTATTTCTTAACCCTCTTTCTCCAACCCTCATAACAGAAAGTTATTGAACAAGGAGGAAAAAAAACACTCATGAAATCCTACCCGGCAGAAAAACTTCCTCACAGAGATGTGATCTATATGAAGCATGCATGCAACTGGATTTTCTACAATGAGGGAGCCAACAGATCCACAAATGACAAGATAAAGTGGATCTGTAAAAGACTGGAGCAGTTGAAGGAGAGCTCAGAAGCGGTCTCCGGATTTTTTTTAATCCAACCCATTTCCCCTACAGTTTTCACAGTCCTTTGCCTCTTCGAGAACGATAAAAAAACAATCGAGAACTGGAAAAAACTGTTCTGGGACACATCACAAGTAAGAATCTATCCGTGGTTACCAAAGAAGATCAGTCCGGAGGAGAAAAGGGACCAGTTAATGAAGGATTTCTATTGGGTGGAGCTGAGGCACATCTCAATAGAGGTTCAAGCAGCTTTTGTGCAGGATTTTGGTCAACAATTCAAAATAGTCGATTTCATTGATCCGCTCTCTGCGCACGTGGCAAAAAGGGACGACTATTTGATGCTCGCTCTAGATCTGCAAAAAGAACAACTGTTTTCATTCGACGATATTATTCCATACAAGATGGGTGGAATGATATATCAAATACATACGACCCATAAATTTAGACCATGGTGCTTTAAATGCAAAGCATACGGACACCTAAGCATGGAATTTGTATGTCCCATGCACCCCCAGCATGCAACGACTACGAAGCACAGATTGAACAAGGATCCACTGCGGCCACACCGGTGGACCCCTGACTCACCGGGACATGAGGGGTGGGTCTATAGTGACGAAACCAACTTTTCAGGAGTGACAATAGGTTGGTACTGGGAACAACAGAAAAATTCCCACGAGAAATGAAAGTTGAAAAAACATTCCATTAAAAAAAAATCCTTCATATTTATAAATTATCATTCCAATGTTCGTCCAACTCTAAAATTTCCAGTTTTATTTGATAAGTTCCCGTCTAAATATGAGTTTTCCCTTCCAACTACATCTATTTGTTCAAGATGGAATGAAAGTCTGGATGAGTTTACAAACTGTTTTAATTAAACTTTCATTCTATTATAACAAATACTTTCTAATTTAGATTGGATTTACCTATTTATGACTGAAAATCCTTACATAGAATGACAGTCCAATTAAAATATTTCATAAACTTATCCAGACTTTCATTCCATCTCTAGCATGCAGTTCAAATAAGAAGGGATGCCCTATTCTTGGATTGAAAGTTTTCAAGTAAGACGAAAAATTTTAAAATTGGAATGACATTTTTTAAAATAGAATGAAAATTTAAAATTTAGAATGCAATTTTACTATAGAATGATTATTTAATTTTTGAAAATTTTTCGGTTGAAGGTAGAAATGACCATCGAAAAACTTCTCGCCCTCCAGCAGATTGGGTGTCGCCGCATCTCACACATCAGCACCAGCAACACTCATCTTATCCACCCCCCCACGGTAATCAGGGGAAACAAGGAAACCACAACAATCAGGGGCATCAGAATCAGGGCAGGCAAGGCCATTCAAACCAGACGAGTTCAAACCAGCTAAACCAACAAAGTCTATCAAATCAATCAAACCAGTCATCGCAGGGTAAAGGAGAGACTTCCATGGGACATGGCAGACCCTTGGGTCCGGCCCCGGAAGCTTACCTACAAAAGAAAGTACAATCAGGAAACCTGGAATGGAAAGAGGTTAGAAAGAAGTCCCAGGAACATGAATCTAATAAGAGTACCC